CATGATTCTTCTTTTTACAAGGCAGCTCAACTCTTTGTGCTTTAACACTGCATACAAAGGTATGTGACTGATAAAAACATACACTGGACTACAATAAATAGGAGGATTAAAAGCAATAGGAGGATTAAAAGCAAAAGGCAGGCACAGCCTGAAAGACAGCTATGGTTTCCATTCCAATAAGTGAAATTTTCTTTTTAAATTAATCATTCCCCCTTCATTTTCTATACCAACAAACCTTCACATTTCAGTGACAAAAACATGGTTTGGAAATATAAACAATTCTCAATAAAAGGCATCTCACAGAAAACACATGTCCAGAAAAACAAATTCTCAGAGAATTTTTGCTACCATAACGTAGCAAAGACAGTAACTAGATGAAGTGCATAAAAACATTCAGATTTTGCAAATGCTTGGCAGAGAAGGAGTATATTTATAGTTAAGGACTCCTTACAGTAAAGCCTTTTTGTGGGAAGGCTTGTATGCTCTCAGAATATTTGCATTTTACAGCGTAAGAACACAAACTAATGACATTAATAAAATGCTCAAAACCAGGCAACAGACGAGAGTATACAGTGGCATGATAAGAACTCCATGAGACAGAGTTAATTTTTAACCTTAAGCGGGCAAAGCTGGCACCCTACCAAATAATTTTTAATGCTGCACCTACCAAATTGGATCTCCTCTCTAACACCTAGCTCGAAACCTTTTTAAACCTTGCACTGTATTTTGCCAAACAGGACAGATGCGTCAGACCAGGGACACAGATCCCTGACTTAGAGAATAGTGTTTTGTCTCTGATATTCCTTCACTTCAATAACTGTTGTACAACATGAACTCAAATGACCACTTTCTGCAAACAACACTACAGGGATGAGCTAGTGCATATCTCACAAAGACAACCTTGTCTCAGCCCTATCTCATGATGACAGAACTTCCCTGTTTGAGGAAGCAGTCAGTTTACAAAGAGAAGAGTTCTCTTCTGATAACAGGAATTTCACAAGTATCACTTTTAACAAACTTGTCTGCCCTTTTCTCTTAGGACACGCCAGACCTCACCCCATGCCAGGGATGCTATACCTTGTTTACTAACACCTATCAATTAACCCAACCATAACTCTCCCAGAGACTTGCTTCTCCACGGCTGCTCCCATCCTATGTCACTCCCCCTGGGAGAAGGTACCCCTGCTGTCTCAATGCCTGTATGGTGAGCTGAAAAGACAGAATTCATTCAAAAGTGAAAAGGCTTTTCCCCCCCTTCATGCTCTCCTTCTCCTAAACATTTCTCCCTGTGCTCTTCCCTGCCACAAAATCTGCTCTTTCTCTCTACAACTCATACAACTATTTAAACATCTTACACATTCTTCAAGCCAGGCACATGACACTCAGGTGCTACTCTGAGGAGCACCACATGGACACCTACAGAAACAGAAACACCAGACAACTTCCAGCTGAAGAGGAGCATTTGGCAATTCATGACACTCAACTTGCTCATCATACCAGCTTGGAGACTTCAAAAAATCTCATATTTTTCACGTCTCCAAAATTGGTCTCTGAGCCTTGTTAACTTCCTCAGCAAGCTTGGCCTGACTAAAGCATCTCAGCCACATCTGAGACTCGAGATAGTTAAAAGCAACAACCATTACACCCTGGCTTTAAATGGTACTTTTCCCTAGCAGCACTTTTTACCTCTGTATCTACTGCTGCACACTGTCCCTCCAAGCTGAGGTTTCAGAAGTACTTGAAAAGGCTTCCTCCAGCTAATGGTTTTGGGAAGTCTGGCAGATGAGTGTTGAGTCTTGCCCACCTGTAGCACTTCATGTGTCTTCCCTCCAGCCAGCAGCTCCTCTGAATAACTCCTGGCCTATATGCCATTCCCAGTGAAATATCAACATCCAACACTGAAAATTACAGGTTTTGACCACACATATGTAGACCAAATAGAGGGCGAGGCAAGCAAAAACCACTCTGAGACAACCCAAACTGACAGGCCATTGAGTGAGTCATGCTGCCCAGAGTCAACAGAAAAAATTCTTGTTTTCCTTCCTCTGTAGCCGGAAGCATGGACTATTTCCTCTCTCCCTCTTTGCCTGAGAGTTTTCCAGTGAAGGTCACCATTTTTTGGGGGGAAGGGGAAATTTCAGAGTTACAAACCCTAAAGATTTAGAAGCATTTGGAGGAGAGGCCTGTATGAGACTGTCATGCTGAGTGACTGGGAGGAGACAGGCTCACAGATGACACAGATTTGGTATGAGCCCAGTTATTTGGGATATCCTGATCCAACCAGTTCGCTTTTGAAACCTAACCTGGCTTGTAGCAGTAGCAAGACCTTTCCTGTCTTCATCCTTCCTCCCAGCAGGACTCCTTCAGGAGTTAACTGTTTGTAAATATCTGCTGAGATCACTATACCACCAACCAACACAGAATCCCACATGGGTAAAAAAGTATTAAACCAAAGGAAGGGCATAACTGTGCTTGCACTGAAATGCAGGCACTTTTCATAAAATGTTCTGTACTTTCTACCAGTGTTACAACCTGTAAAACCACCTTCAGACTACATCTGGGCAAAGGATTTTAAATTATTACTATCACAGAATTTTTGGATACAAACAGCCACCTCTCCACGGACAAAATGGAACTACTACATCAAGTATGAACTAGACTAGATAAAAGCTGTTAAAGTGTCCTTGCATTGGCAAAATCAAGTGAATAAACACATAGCAATGCAAATAAATAAATAAAGATATTAAAATGATAATGTGCAACAACACCTAGGGCTTTTCTAGTTTTCTTAAATTTAATAATCTCAAAAACATGTCAAGAATAGTAGAAGAATTTGCTGTTTACCAGACAAATAAGCAATTGTTAATTTTTAAATGTGATCAATTAAGAACAACAAATAATCTGGGTTAAAAAAAAAAATTCAGCACTACTTTTCTTTGGGTCTACTGCATAATTTCTGCAATTTTACAACTACATCTTGGGTAGTTTTCTCCCTCTAGTTGTTTCTTTAGGTCTTGATCACCCACCAAACAAGTCTTTGAGGAACCTAGCCTCCAGGATATTAGGACAAATTCCTGTTCCTTTTATGTAACCCTCTGGCAGTGGAGAGAGAAACTGCAAACATAATACACTCTTTCACTGTTATCAAATGGTGTACGTAAGAGACTCCTTTATGCATGAAAATCAGGCTCCATAACTTAACAGGTTCTTGAGAAGTAGTAGTGAAACCATGTTTACAACAAATGCTGTCTAACATATATATACTATAGATATATATATAAATATAGTACAACAAGCAGGGCAAAATTGACTATCACTTGTTTTGCACCACAGTATCCTAAGATACAACTTTTTAACTGCAGCGCAGTCTCCTAAATGTGAATGTTGGGTAACACTATTTGGAACGAGTAGAACACTTTAAATTCCAGCACTCCCACGAGAATCATTGGAAGACTCCAAGAAACTGCCTTGAACACCATAAAATGTGGAAAACACAAAACACACTACTGCATGGCAGTAAGACGGAACACAATGCCATGTTACTGACAAGACAGAGAACATGTTTTACCCTGAAAGTTTCATCCCAGCTTGCCTTCATGAGCATACAAAGTCAGAACTGGATAAAATCATCCACTTTCACTCTTCAGCATTAAAGAGACAAAGGCCTGGTACTTCTCCCTCTGTTCCAACTTGAAATTTAAAACTTGAAGCTTGGTTTCAAGTGACAGGCAGAACCAGGAGAGCGAAGTCTACAGCCGACCGACTCTGTGTGCCAAACCAACCTTGCAAAAATCAGCAGCAGGCTGTACGCAGTGACCCGGAGAGAAAACAGGGCCGTGTGCTGGGGAAGCTGCAGCAGTAAGGGATTCACCAGCTTCCCCAACACGGCACAGCCCCTCCAAAGCCCGACTCACCACCACAGCACCTCTGCCCGACTGGAATCCAGTGTCCAAAGGCGGCAGACAACCATTTCACTAAAACCTTGGGTTTTTTCCTTCTCCTTGCTTATTCTGGATTACCAGGATCAGCATAAGCCGGAGGAGAAGGGCCGGCTGCAAACTCGGCATCTGCTCTGGAGACAGCCCCAGCCTCATGTGCCAGCAAAACTCTCTCCCTATCCATCCGCCGGAGATTTGCCGACACAAGGGCAAAGTGGGATTAGGGCCGCAGCAAACATTTGCCTGTCAGCACTTTACAGCGGGGTGAGGGCACGGGCACGGGTTTTGTTTGGTTTCCAGCAGGGTGACTCCGCTCCCCCTGCAGCTGCAGGAGGGCAGAAAACAGAGGGCAGTGCTGATGTCGGCCGAAAGTCAGTGCTCACCGGGGGACATGATGACACTTTAGGGGACTAGGTCTAGATGGTGGCCCTGAGGGACAGGGACCCCTCGTTCGAGGGAGCTCCCAGGAAATGACAGCCAGCATCCAGCCCACCCCGGGCTGATGTGCCCCTGCCATACCCGCGCTCACCCCCCCGATGACCGGACCCGAACACCCCCTAAGGCTCCCGGCAACTCTCTCCTCGCCGGGGCTCCTCCCCTCGAAGCCGAGCTCGGCGAGGCAACAAGTGGAAGCCGCTGAAGTTACTTCCCCCTCTCCCCGACAGCTCCCT